TAAGATAATCTCGACGTGAATAATTTCTCCTCTAATTAATTGTCTACCATTTTTAAAGTACGATTTATACGTTACGTATAATTTACCCCTTTATTTATTATTTTTATGATCGATCAAAATCCTTTTAGTTTTCTTTTATTTTTAATAAAAAAAATTTTTATCAACTTGTGGAATTGACTTCCTAACCCTAAAATGGGCTTTTAATTTTCTTGGTCCAAAATTCACCAAGAGAAAATTAAAAGTAGAAATATTTGACTCATAAAAAGGCAAGCCCCACCAAAAAGTGCTTTAAAAGTTGGAGGTTGACATGGCTACCACCACATGCTCATACATTTAATTTCTCTTTTTTTAAAAAAAAAATTCCAAAAAATAAAATAAATTAAATTAAATTACTAATTTCTTCATTTAATAATTTATTTTAAATTTTATTGTTACCAAAATTTTAATAAATTATATCATCAATAAAAAATATATTATTTCTTTTTCCTTAAAGCAATAGAGGACCAGTCAAAAAAGCTATACCCTCAAAATTCTTTATACTAAAATTAAAATACATGTTATTTTATGCATAAAAATACTTTATATTAAGATATATATATGTGTGTGTGTGTGTGTGTGTGTGACATGTGAATTGAGGCTCATGATTAAAGGGTAATCTTAATTAGAGGGTAATTACAAATTAATAAACCTCATAATTTCTGCCACCTTCAAGTAGGTTTCCTATTTGATAGCAACCAACCTATTCAACAATCATGATAATTCTACCAACTTTCAACTATATGTCTTTATAAATAAATTACCTTTTTTTTTTAAAAAAAAAAAGTAAAAAACAATCAACCATATTCATTATACAAATTTTATATTAAAATAATAATTTAATATTTAAATATATAGCTTAAATTACATATATTTTTTTTAAAATTATTTGAAGAAAAGTTATATTTTGGAATTTACATATATGAATCTAGTGTATATCTAATTTGTAAACAAATATTATTAATTGATTTTAATATTTAAATAATAAATAAATAAATAAATAATCAGTAAAAAAAATATAATTACATTGATGGAGACATACAATTGTTAAAAACTAATATAATATATAAAAAAAGTATGTAAATTTATTTACGAGTTTATATTATTTAATTTTATCATACCATAATCAATATTATATTAGTAGAAATACTAAATAGATTTACAGAGAGAAATGTCAAATACAAATATATTATGATTCGTTAAAACTAAATATGTTTTGGTCACTGCATCATTATTAATATATTAATAAGTTAAATTTTTAACATTACTAAATCAAGTATTATAAACCGATCAAAACTAACTTACAATGTACAATAAATTTATTAAATAAATATAAATTTGTTTTAAAATTTTATTATAGGAATATATGTTGACAATAGAGAAACATAAGTTTGTGTGTGTGTGTGTGTATATATATATGTATATATATATATATATATGAATATAAAATTTGATAAAATAATAACCTTCTTCCCTAAGCTAACTCATGAGATGAGAGATTACCTAAGTGACATTTATATTTTTTTGCATAAAAAATAAGTTTTGTCTTAACTTATAACGAAAAGTAATACATATTATATACGAATATGCATATACTTTTGCATATATATATATATATATATATATATATGCCTTTAGATTTGGCTCCATCATGAGTATATTCCAAGTTATGTGATGCCGGTGTAATATTCTTAGAATCATCATGCATTTTTATTTATTTTTTTAGATAAAAAGTTAAAAAGCAAACTACACATATATACATATAGAATCATAATAATATATATAATCAATTATTATTTTTGTTATCATCAATGATAAATTATATATATATATATATAAAAGATATTTGTGGGAATCAAATGGTATAATAAAACAAAAAAGTGATGGGCCCCCCCATAGAAACATGGTGGTCCAAATTTAAGGATGCTGTTTTAATAAATTAATGTCTGATTTTTAATTAAAAGAATTTATTTATATAAGTTTTATGTAAAATTATAATAATACATTTAAAATTTTATCGAATTTAATATAATTTATAATTTATTTTTTTTAAAGTTTTTCTTAAAATTCTATAGGGACTAAAAAATTATTACTTTTTAATAAAATTTAAAACTTTTTAAATTAAAATTATTAAATAAATTTCTTGCTAATTAATAAAATTAATATTTTGAAGTGGGAGGATGTATTGTTTAAAAGAAAGTATTTTTATGAAATGATTGAGATTAATTTTCTAAATCAGAAATTAATATGTTTTTAAACCTGAATTAATCAGATTTAAATATCATATAATTGAAATTATTTATTTTACATTGCAGGAATTTAGTTCCGCCTTTATTGACAATTCTCTCTCTTTCCATCCATCCGTCAATCTGAGTAAACAGGAAAATTTAGATTCAAATCCAGATGGGTGAGTTTATATTTATAGTCTTCGTCGAATCATATTTCGAATTTCCCAATTACCCATCAAAGCTTCTTGTAGTAATTTAGTGAAAGCGAGTCAAAACAAGGAAGCCAGAACAGACGCAGACCCAGTGGGAAAAGAGAGAGAGAGAGAGAGAGAGAGAGAGAGAGAGAGAGAGAGAGAGA